AAAAAAAAAAAAAAAATTATATCAGATTATTCTTCAAGATTTAAGCTTTAAAATAAATATAAAATTATGATTTTAGCTCCTATAGTTATCCTGTTATAAGCTTTTAAAGGTAACCAATAGTGGTTACATTTCTTTTACTCGCTACTGTATAAATAAGAAAATTTTTTTAAAAATGATTATCAATAATTTTTTTTTTGTTATATTAAAACAATTCATTATAAATAAATTTATTATAAAAAAGTCATTTTGATTTATTATAAAATTTTTGAAAAAAATCGTTTCATTAAAATTTATAAATTTGATATAATGATTTTTATATATTTTAATATAAAATAAAAATTTTAAAAAAAATCATTTAAATAAAAATTTATTAATTGATCATTATATCAAGAGTTTATTATAATGAGTTTTAACTGTATATTAGTATACAATATTTAACTAGTAAAATTTAATATAATAAGATTTTTTTAATATAGAAAAATCTGTATTATATTAAAAATTTATTATATTATAAAGTTAGTTATATCAAAATTCATTATATTAGAATTGACTATATAATTATAAATCTTATATCTTTATTATTGTATAAGTAAATTTTTTTTATTTTCAAATTTAATTATATAATAATTTAAAATATAATTATATTTATTTTAATAGTTATATAAACTTTAGAATTATTAACTTTTAAATAAAATATATTAATTAGAAATATTAATTTATTTTCTTTATATTAGCTTATTATTAATAAAGTTTTATAAAATTTATAGAAAATTATTTTTTAAAAAACAAAAATATTAATTTATCATAATTTCTAAAAACATAATTTATTATAAGATAAATATTATTGTTTATCAAAAAAAACTATTTTTTATATATTATAATTAATAATTAATAATATTTAATTATTTTATCTAATCTAATTAATGATACTAGATGAAATTAAAATATTTAGTCATATAAGTAAACTAAAACTATTTAGTCTTTAATAATTAAAAAAACTAAAATGCTAAAACTTTATTTCTATAGATTTTTATAGATTTTAACTCACAATTTTTAATATTTTATTTTACTATAAATTTTGAAATTTAGAATTTTTATAAATAAATATTATTATTATCCTTTAAACTGTAAGTATTAAAACATTTTAGGTAATTTAATATCTAATAATTATAAAAAGATAAAATTAAATTTTTAACTTTTAAAATTAAAAATTATTATTATTAATACTGTATATATTAATTTTTTAATTTTAAAAATGATTTATTATCTAATAATTACAAAAATATAAAATTTAGTTTATTGGATTTATCACATTAAGATTTATTAAAAGATAGTAGTTTTATATTTCTAAGATTAATAAATAGTAAGATATATGAGTTTAAAATTTTAATTTTTTTATAATAATTTATTATTTATTTATTTTTAAAAAATCACTAATTAACTACATTTTTTTTATTTTTACTTAGAAGACATTATAAAATATATTATAAATTTATTAATTTTTTTAATAATTTATTTTAAAATATTTAAAAATAATTAAAAATAATTATAATTAATAAAAAAATTGCCTGCAAATTTGTAGGCAAAAAATTGAAGAGATATTTTATTTACTATATAGGAAGTTTGCTAGAAAAATTAGGTTTTGAGAAAATTTTAACAATATTTTGATTTTTATTGTATTTTAGTTTTTGATATTATTAAATTACATGTAATAAGATTTTAATTTTAATTTAAAAAATTCTTAAAGTCCAATTTTCTTAACAAACTTTTATATAATACTTATTTAATAAAGATAAATAAATAAAAATTTATAATTTATATACTATAAAAGCAGTTTAAGTTTAGTCATTTAGTCATTTACTAAAAGTTTAGTTAAAGGTTTAGTCAAACACAAAATTTGACAAAAGTTTAATCATAATAAAAATAATTTATGAAGGTATTACTAAATTTAAAAAATCTAATTATTTCTAATTTTATAATTTTATACTCTTTATATTCTAATATATAAGAATATTAACAAAAATGTAAATTCATTATAAAAATACATAGCATATTTTACAAAGTTATGCTATAATTTTTTAAAGTTAATTAAAAATGCATATTAATATCTTAGTAATAAATGATAGAGAAATTAGAAAATAAAAGAATTAAATTAATTATAATATAATTTTAGTATATAAAATTGTTAAAAAAAATAGAGAATTTGTAATAAAAAATAGTAAATTGTTAATAATACAATTATTTTCATAATTTTTAATAAATATGATATCATTAAGATTGGTTAATATTATATTAAAATCATTTGCATTAGCACATAATTTTATATGAATATAACATAAAGTTTTAAATAAACTAACCTTAATTACCTTAACTTAACCCTAACCCTAATCCTAATCTCATATTACAAGTAAGAATAACAAAATTTATATTGAATTTTTAATAATAATGCTAAAAATAAAATATCAATTACATAAAAATAGTAGTAGTAAATTGTACTAGCAGAAAATTATAATTTTTTATTTTAATATATATTTTATCAATTTTATTAAAAGATATTTTAAGGTGGTTAAGAAGTTTTTTTTTTTAAAATAATTTTAATTTTTAAAATAAGTTTTAAAAATTTATTATTAAAAACTTCTTTAAATTTAAATTTTTATGAATTAATTAAATTAATTTACTACTAAAAAAGTTAAATTTCTTAATCAATTATAAAAATTGTAATAATTAAATTTATTCTTTATGTTAAATTTTATAATACTATAAAAAAGAAAAAAAAAGATATCTAAAGGCATCCTTTTATATGTATTGCATAATTGTTTGAATAAAAATAATCAAGTTTGATCTATTTAAAAATCAGTCATAATAAAGGTGTTGCCCAATTTGTATAGTGCCATTCAAAATCCGAAGCTCGAAAGTCTGAAGGTACATAAATAATCCCGATGCCAAAATGCCAAAAACTAAAATCCCGAAAATTCACAATATTCCGAATGTCCAACATTTTTAACGAATTTCATTTCATAAGTATCTATATCAATTACCACTACCTTGAGACACATGGATAAGATATGATTATGTTGTGGCGCTATAAGGTAAAATTTTGTGAGATAAAATAAATTAATAAGTGAAAAGTTGACCTCTAATAAAACTATATTTTTACTTCGAAATTCTTTTGTGTGGTTTGATGAAATGTTACCAATAAAAAATCAAATTTACAGATACAGAATGAATTATTGAATTTCAATTATTGTCACATAAACAAGGTATATCGTTAATATTTGAGCATTGCCAATCATATTTTAAAAAGAAACGAATCATTTAGAATCATTTGAAAACATTGGTGGTGTGAAACATTTAATTCATATTTCTTTGTTCACATGATTTATTCAAAAATACTGTTTTTTTTTGGTGAAACACAATTCATGATAAAAAATTTTTTTGTTGGACTATTTTTAATTTTCTCAAGCATTTTTAAGCATTTTAACTATTGGTAAGATTTATATTTGTGTCTGGTAAAAAAAAAAAGATGTTTTTAACTGAACATTCAACCAAATTTCAAATTCTTTGTATTAAAAACTAATATGATCATTGTTGTGCACAATAAATTTTAGAATTAGTGAAGTGCATGAAACGGTTTCACTTAAATAATTGAATCTATTTATTTATCCTATTTTAAATTGAACTTGTTTGATATAATTGGAAAGGATAAAATATATATATGTGTGTGATGCCGTTTATTCCTTAAAAAAATTTTTTCTCTCTCGTCAATTTTTTTTATCTTTTAACAAACATTTTTCATTTGATTTTTTACAATGGCGAAAAAATTCGATTTGGATGACCTTTTTGGGTAAATTGATTCATCATTAATCATTATTTAAATATGAATTTACGACCATTTATAATTAAAAAATATATATATATATATATTTTTTTTATTTAAAAGATACGAAACTTTCAAGATTGTTAAGGTCAAAGAGTATGTACAGCATAAATTCATTTCGTGAACTTATATATATATTCCTTGGGTTCTTATTGAATTGTTTTTTTACTTTTTATTATAGTCGAAGATTAGGTATACTTCATCGAGCATTTCAACTTGCCATCTTTATTTATATTCTATTTAGTATCTTAAATTCTCAATTATATCTAAAAAAGGTGAACAGTTTTGAAAAGTAGTATTAAAAAAAAAAATAGTCGTAAAACGTAACTCACGTGATTCATGATAGGAACCTCCGGTACCTGGCGCAGTTAGAATAACGCTGCAAGCACCTCCAACATTTACCAATCCACCATATTGTACAGGAGGGGAATTGCCTTGCGTTTACTGGGGAGCAGATGAAATACATTTTCCAAATGACGCAGCAGGTGTAGCATTTTTTACCACAAGGGCAACTGTAACAAAATATACAGCACCTGAAAATTGTAATTTCCTTTTGCCATCATCACCTGGAGATCCTTGTATTTTTAATGCTAAGACCAGTACTGGTCAAATTATAATGAATAAATCCTACATTGCAGATATTGAAAATTATACTGTAAGTGCTCATATATTTGAGAACTTTATTATGAAATTTTTTATTTATAATTTTTTTTTTTAAAAAAAAACCATAAACAGGTTATGATTGAACATTCTATTAGAGGAAAAGCTACTTCTATTTCACTTCGTAATGGGCTTATGGATGGTGAATTAATTTCTGCTATTGATGGTAAAACGAAAAGATCATGGACTAACGCAACTAGAGTAAGAATTTATCTTTTGAATTGTATTTTAGCACATTTATTTTGTTTGTTAACTGAGTTATAATTAAAACGTAGGCTATAGAAGATCCAAGAGCCAATGGTGATATTTTATCAGTGAAGCAAATTCTTGAAGCCGCAGGTAATTTATATGTTTTGATCTTATTACATTACATTTATTTATTATATATTAATTTGCGTTGCTTTTATTATAGGAGTTGATTTAGAAGGTAATAACATCGCAATAATTAAACTTCACCTAGCTTGATTATTGAGGTTGTAAGATGCGCTAAAAGAAAATTGCTTTTAAAAAAAAAAGCTCCTTCGTTTGCTCCTGCTGCTGAAGGGGAAATAAATAGATCATCCGGTGTCGTCATTGTAATCGTGATAGATTATGAAAATGTTCCATTCAAGGTATAATTTATGCATTATCTTTATTTATTAGTTTGTTTTTACTAAAAAAAAAAAAAAAAAAAAAAAAAAAAACATAAAAACCATTGTAGGAAAATGTGATTAAATATAAATATTTACCGCAAGTTATTGATGGTGCTGAATATAAAGTGACCGAAACCATTTTTAATGATGATAATTCTTATACAATCAAAGATCGTCATGGGTATGTATCACCCTTTTATTTTTTTAAATTTATATTGTAACATTTTTATTTATTTTATTATCATTTGATAGTATCCGGTTGGTATTTCAACAATATGGACAAATTGGTGTATTTGATTTTATGGCTTTATTGACGAATTTAGTAGCAGCTCTTGCTTTATTCGTAAGTTCTTTCTTCATCTTTTTCTTTTCGCATATTAATTTGATCGATTTAATGAATTAATTAATTCTCTTTCTTTTGTTGAATGATTGACAAAAACAGAAAGTTGCAACTTTCCTTGTTGAATTATTAATGTTGAAATTTTTGCCTCAAAAGGACCAATATGAACAATTTAAATTCGAAAAAACTCTTGATTTTAGTGATATACGTAAAGGTACAAGTGATAAAGGTTCGGTTAATAGTGCTTAGAAGTTAGTTACACATGTTTTCTTTTTTTTTCTTTTTGGAAATTATTATGAGTCATATAAAGTTGGTAATTAAATGGTTGAATTGAGATGGTCGATTCGTTATTTTCTTCACAATGTTGTAATATTCTACACTTTAATTTTTCATTAAAAAAAATATTATACTAGCATTAATTAGAACAAATAAATTAATAAAAATTTATATTTAGAGCATTACGAATTAAACCAATGAATGCATTACTGAATGTGATCATTATACAGGAATCGAGAATGGACGTAAGGAAAGGGTAAAAAAAACTAATATTCTTTCATATAAATTGTTTTTTTTTATTATTGGCAGAAAAGATACCAAATTAGATAATGGCACAGTATTTTATCGTCGATTAACACACCTTCGATTAAAAGTTGGTTAAAGTATTGATGTAATTAAAACCGTGAGTGGATGAATAACGCAAATGACATCATGATTATAAATATTATATAGCTCAAGCTCAATATTAACTTCTTTGATATTATACTTCCTCAGAGGCAGGTTGGCGATTAAAATGTGATTTCATCAGAGCATCTAGCCAAATAGACAAATATTTATACCATAATGGTAACATTAATGATAATACTATGAACTATTTATATATGCAGTATGATATCAAAGACTGTAAGTTAATATAAAGTAGACCAGCTATTTTTTTGATAGAAATAAATACATAAAAAAACGAGAGAAAAAAAAAAGATGAATTTTACTGTTTACAAAGAAATAGGATTTTTTAACCAATGAAAAATGAGATATTAATCATTTTTTTGTGTATCGTTTTAAAATTATAATAATTCAGGCTGGCATTATGATAATTATCATAATGCCAGAAATCTTACAGTATTATAATATGATCAAATTTTTGTTATATCAGAATTTATTGAAAAATTATTACATCAAATTTTTATATTATATGATATATAGTACTGAAGTCGCCAAAGTCTCTGAATAATACAATACTGTAATTATATAATCTTATTTACATAAATTGTACTTTAAAAAGTATATTTGGTTTATTTATTTTGATTTTAAATCAATTTATTTTTAACAATGAAAATGTTTTATGAATTAATAATAGAATAACACTATATTTTTTGTCATCAATGTAGCAATAGTTACTAAATTATTATTTTAACTGTTAGTTGTGAAGAGTTAATATTATTTAATACTTTGAAAAAAATAGATTAACTAATTTAAAGTCTTATTCTAGTTATCTATTTCTATTTGGATTTTTACTATAAAGTTTACTTAAATAATTTATAACTAATAATAATAAAAAAGGAATCATCATTTAAGTATTCTAGAAATTCAACAAACTCTAAAATAAAAAATTATTTCAAATTAAACTATTAGTTAAATATTACCTGCTATTAGATTAAAATTGTATTATTTAATGTAAATCTTTAATATTGCCAGTAAATATAAAAGTATGTTTTACATAATATTTGAAATATAAAATAAAGGATAATTAGTCAAAAATCTTATAGAGTGATAAATTGACTTTTATCTCAATTTTAACAAATCAATTGCAATAGAGTATAATAAAAACTTTAGAATTAGAGCTCTGAACAAGTCAGTTCAGATCAGGTCAATCAAGTTACCTAAATTGAGAGGATTAGATCAGGTCAAACAAAATTTGAACTAATTAAATTTTCATTTGATCTAATCTGATCTGACCTGATCCAAAAAGAGAATTTTTTCTTATTTACTTTTTAAATAATATTAAAAAAATATTTAATATAAACTAGAAAATAAGAACTATTATTAAATCCAGAACGATCCACTAATATTTATTTTTTATCTAGACTTTGTGTAATTGTAAAGGCTAATTAGCATTGACTCAATTATTGAATATGTAGACAAATAGATATACGTATAATCTTAGACCTGTAAATAAATAATTCTTCACTTCATACTAGACTAATAATAATAGAATAAACAATTAATTCATTTAACCAACTTTGTTATTTTTAATTAAACAATAATAAATTATTCAAAAAAAATAATAAAATAACATTTAAGATTTATAATGAATCATTTTAATTGAATAATAAAATATCATTTTTAAATAATAATAAATCATTCTAATTGAATAATAAAATATTATTTTTGAATGATAAAAGCATCGTTCAAAAATGATAATAAATTATTCTAATTAAATGATAAAATATCATTTTTGAATGATATTAAATTATTCTAATTGAATAATAAAACTATCATTTAAAAATAATAATGAATTATTCTAATTGAATGATAAATATCATTCATGAATAATAAAACTATTATTTAAGAATGATATGAATTATTCTAATTGAATGATAAAATCTAATTTACAAATAATAAAATTATTATTTATAATAATAAAACTATTATTTAAGAACAATAAAATATTGTTTAATAATAATAAAAATATTATTTAAAGATAATAAAACTATTATTCAAGAATGATTAGTTAACCTAAATTTTGTCAGATTAGATCAGATCAGGCTGATCTATTAACTTATCTGATATTAATCTAAAAATCTATTGATCTAATCTGAATTTTCAGGTTAGATCAGTTCAAGTAAATAGGTTGATCTGATTTAGAGTTTTATTCAGGATAAGATAATTATTCTTATATTTTTACTATAATAAAGTATAGTCTAAAACAAATGTTTAAAATTACTTTTCAAGATGAGATATAAAACCTATTGTTTTATTATTTAGAACTAAAGATAGTATTGCAACTAATTGCGATCATATAATACTTATAAGTCACTGTTTGCAACTAGTTAAACTTAATTTTTTTTAATGTCGTAACTAGTTGCAACTTTGTGATATTTATTTATTACTGATTGTAATTAATTACAGTGCCATTTTTATTTAAGATTATAATAGATATATTATATATTATCATCTTTCAAAAGTATGTTATTTTAACTAAAGTATTTATTTTCAAATGGTGATATTTATTTTCAAAAAAATAATGTTAGTCTCACAAAATAAAGTAAATAAAGAATTTTTATGCAAAAAATAATCTGTATATTCTTTTATATTAAAAATTTGTAAACTGATATGAAGAAAATATCTATAAAAAAAAATATATATCTTTTAAAATTACTAAATTTAAACAGTATATTAAGAAAACAAAAATTATTTTTATATATACTATCAAAAATTTAGTTGATAATATGATATAACAAAATTTAAGTTGTAATTATAATAAATGAAAAATTGAATAAGTACTAATTAATTAATATAAAATTTATTTTATATGACATTTTTAATAAATATTTAATAAATTTTTTTAATTAAATTTTAAAGATTTTAAATGATTTATTAAACTAAAAAGAATTCAGAAATTTTTGACAATCCTTTATATATTAAAACTTTAGTAAAAAATTAGCAAAAATAATGTTTAGATATTTTATTATATAAAATAAGTTTAAATAAATAACCTTAAATTTAATAATATATTTAATAATTTGGTTAATTTTAAATAAATAAAAATTTTATTTTATTTTTAAGTTATTAATTAAATTTTATTATAAAATATAAATTTTAACTATAGTTAACTAGTTAAAATTTATTGGTTAATCAATTACTAGTTTGTTAAATAAATCTTAATTAATTATTAATTATATTTAAAATTTAATCATTAATTAAATATAATTAATTAATTAATTAAAATTTTTTATAACAGTTCTAATTACTATATTTTATAATTATTTAATTTTCTAAGTATATTATTTTTAAATATTAATAATATTTTCTTCTTAAATTTTTAAATTTTAATTTATTTATTTGATATTAAACAATAATAAAATATATAATTTACTTATATTAATAAATTTTTTACTATTTTTAAAATTAAAAGATAATTAAAAATATAAATTAAATTTAAATTAATAAAATAAAAATAATATTTTATATTTAAATATAATAATTATATTATTTATTATGAAGAAATTTTATATATAATTAAAGTTTTTTAACTGAAGTTATTTTAATATAAATTCTAAAAAATTATTGAACAAAGTATTCAAATTTTTTATTATTAATAAAACTTATATTTAAAAATTCAAAATAAGTTTTTTAAAAATTTTATATTTATATACAGTAGCGGTCATAAGTATCCGACTGCCTCTAACTCCGGCTACAAGTAAGTAAATTCAAAATTTTTTTTTTTATT